ATATATATATATTCTTATGCCAGTACAACACTGCCTTGCTTATTGCAACTTTGCAGGAAGTTTTTTAAAATAAACAAATGTAAGGACTACAACTTTTTTTCAGCTTTTCAAGATTGTTTTGGATATTCTGGATACTTTAAATGTCCACATGAATTTTGGGATAAACTCATCAATTTCTTCAAAGATACCAGTAATTTTGATACAGATTTCTGAGAATCTCTAAGTCAATTTTTGGAGTGCTGCTGCCTTAACAATATTAAATATTCTAATCTACAAATACAATATGTCTTTATGCATAATCAGGTCTTATTTAATTTATTCAGAAATGTTTGGGGGGTTGTTTTCTCTTTTTGTATTAAGAATTGAATCTAGAGCATTTGCACTGAGCTACATCCCCAGGCCCTTTTCTATTTTGTATTTTGAGAAGGGGGGTAATTTGCCCAGAATGGGCTTGAGCTTAATGTTCTCCTGCCTACCTCAGCCTTCCAGAGTACTGGAATTATAGGTGTGCATCATCACACGTGGCTTTAATTCTTGTACATCTTGAAATTTATTCCTGAGTGATTTGTTTTATTATTTTTGTGGTGTTGGGCCCAGGACCTTACAGATACTAGGCAAGCACTCTTCCCCTCAGCTACATGCCTGTCTCATTTTATTCTTTGGAAGACTATTTAAGTTGAATCATTTGCTTAATTTCATTTCAACTAATCCATTGGTAGTGTTTAGCAATATAATTCACTTGGTATATTAATATTATATTCTGTAACCTGACTGAACCCATTTATTAGTTCTAAAACTCTTTTGGTATGTGGATATTTTAGGAATACTATATATTATATTATATTATTATATTATTATATTATTATATTATTTTATCCATGAATACAGAAATTTATTTTTTATTCCAACATTCTAATCTGGATGGCTTTTACTTCTTTTTCTTACTCAATTGCCCTGTCTAGAATCTCCAGTATAGTGATTTTTCTCCTGTATTTTATTAATATGGCATATTATATTGTTTCATTTTCAGATGTTAAACTAGACTTTTATTTCTAGAATGAGTTTCATTTGATTTTTTTCTTTTTTTTCTTTTTATTGAGTTTATTGATACAATCCAGGTATACAATACAGTTACATTCATCAT